TTTGAAAAATCAAAGTTGCTACTGCTTTCTAATAGAAGCGGCAACACCGCATTGTCGAAAATATTTTAGTTGGCTAGAGAATGTCCGAATATGCCCTCCATTAAATTTTCAAAGTGATCCGTTGTCTGGTTCACCAGAAACGTCTAATGTGCCATCCACCGTGAATCAGCCTGTATATGTATGTATACTCTACACGAAGTCAATTGAGACACCTAAAAAATTTAAATTGGACTAACAACCTTATTCATCATTGGAGATGACTTTATTAATCGATACAGTAAATCCTAATAAAAATCTGTTTTTCCGTTAATCAGCTGTCGCCCCCATACGAACGACAACTCTCAGAAGTTGAGAAACTTGTGCGTGTGATTCCTAACACGAATTCCATAGACTACTACAGAATTAGACGAAAGAAAAAATATTTTTGGTTCAACTACTTTTGTATGAACATTTTTTTTGAAAATTCCCACATTGTATGAGTGGAAAGCTGAATTCTTTCTTACTAAAACATTATTCTCTCCTAAAAATATACCTACTCCTTTCAATTTATAACGTTTTTCTTTTTGCTACAAATTAGTAGAACGTAAGTTTTTTTCTTTGTTTTTTTTTTGGGTAATTTTTTTTAATGTTGCCGGGTAGAATATTTTGCAAAAAATTTTCATTTGTACTTACTTAAAATGATGAGCAGGACACGATTCTGAAGTCTAAACGCGGAGCACTATTCTCATTACGAAATTATGGCCCTTCAAGGATTCCGAAAACGTCATATCATATTCCAGTCACCTTCTTTTTTACACCAAAAAACGATCTGAATACACTTGATTTCATTAGCCACATCACTTTTACACATTGTCCACCTTGCTTTATACTTTTTCTGCACTCTTTTTTTCTAAAAGAAATATATTTTTTGTCCGCACTTTTTTCTGGTTGTTTATTGTGCAAAAGGAAAATTTGAGGTTAAACATTTTCATTGGTACGGCTACTTTGTAACGTTTCCTTATTCAAATTATAAATATTACTACATTTTGGGCATCGTGTATCTGCTGTAAAAACTCCATTCACTATTGAATAGAGACTTAAGTTTTCTTTCATTCCTACTAGGTTTTAGTATTTCGTCCAGATTCATGTTAATGAAGAGCTACTAAACTTCTGAAAATATATTTTATTATCTGCCTATGACCCCGAAAAACAGTTGAAATGATTCAAATCCCGTTACAACTTGTAAAATTCAAGCAAAGCAGTCATATCAACGTAAATTTTCAACTTCAAATTTGTCAATTGCAAATACCTACACTAGCAAACACCGGCGCGGCGCTGACAAAAACTGCTTATTTTTTTTCATGGAAAAAAGTAAATTTGTATAGAAAAAAGTATGAAGCAAGGTGGAACAATGTATAAAGGTGACGTGGTGAGTAAAATCGTGTTCATCCCAATGGTTTTTTGGCGTAAAACAGAAGGTTGAATATGACCGTCTTTCAATCTTTGGGGGAGCATAATTTCGGAATGAAGGGTGAGCGCCGGGTTTTGATTCAAGAATCTAGTACTGCACATCGTTTTACTAAGTAAAAACAATTTTTTTTTCGAAATTTTTTGCCAGCAACATTCCGGATGACATTTTTTAACCTTCCAAGGTCTAGATCAACTGAGAATCTTTTTCCAGGTGTACTTGATGTATCTATTCAGTTTGCTCTTCATTAAATACCAGATAACAGATGTTCTGTTCAGATTTCAGAAGATTAATACTCTGAAAACATCAAGATACATTGACTTCTCAGAAAAAATATCATTCAATTTTTTTTTCACGGATTGTAGTCTTTTTATAGCGGGTTTATGCAACAAAACATAACTAGACTGTACCTGTTCGATGTATGCACCTAACCACAATTATTCCTAATTTGATATGTTACTATACTACTGAATATAATTCCATATTAACAGAAAAAATGTTCAGCACTCTTTTCGTAAGCTGACTTGTGGCTCTTGCCCAAAAACTGTATGTTGGCCAAACAGGGAGAACATTTTCCCAAAGAATTAAAGAACATAGAAGTAGTTTTGTAAATAAAAAGACCAACTCCACATTTGCAAACCACCTTTCAGCAGAATGACAGGAGTTCAATCATGAATACGACGTGTTACATCTAGAAGAGAAAATTTTTAATCTCAATCTTCTATATTGTTTAGAAATCAATAGATTCAAGAATTCGGGTAATTTACTGAATGATCGATTGGAATTGAATAACTAATGGGACATAAGCTCAGGTAATTTAATTCATTACAAACTCAGGTAAAATTAAGGTAATTGAAATGTAGGTACTTCAAACGGTAGAATTAGGTATATTAAGCATCGAATATGTAGAATATAGTTAGTAAAGACACGCCTGAAGAAGACATAGTATGGCGAAACACGTGTTGCGTTTTTGTAAAACTGTTTAGTGAAAATCACAATAAAGTGTTTTTTTGAATAACTTAGTTATGGATTTTCATCAAGTATCGGCCAATTCCATTATACATTTTTGATTGATTGATATCCATAACTTGACAATATTTTCTCATTTCAAAATTTGTTTTAGGAAAGAATATATGGAATCCTGATGCACAGGAATTCAGACCAAAAGAAAATATTGGTAGAGAAATCAGTCTAGATGTGAAACCCGTGGAATCACAAAAATATTCACAAAATGAAATGGCTCGTTTAGGTCAAGAAAGTTTTATTGAAACTAGTCATAATAGAAAAAAAGACGGTAATTATAATCATCAACAAAAGGAAAGGCATTCCAATATATCCGACTATCGATCAAGACAATTTTTCAATAGTAGTAAATCTGGGTCTAGTAACAACCACTCTGTTAATAACAATAGGAGGCCAAAGAAATCATTCAGTGAAACAGATCGAGAGAGACGTACAGTAAATTCTCAAGACAGACATGAGGGAGGTGATTCGAGTAAAAACAGGCAATCTAGGAAACGGTCAGTTGAAGATAGAGAGTCCCGTTCTACTGATGAGAAATACAGAAATGTAGCATCAGAAAAATCTGCTCCGCAACCTGGTGAAGAAAAATGGGAAACTAACGAAAATATCAAACAAGGAGACAATCCAACATCATCTCACAAAAGATATGGAAGATCTAAAGAAAAAAAAGGTAGAGGCTTATATTTTTCAACTTCAAAAGACAGACCTCAACACCAAAATGGGAGCTCGAGGGGCTATCAAGATGGAGGAAAAAATTCTAAAAAAGAACATTCTTTAGAGAAAAAGCATTCAACGACTGCTGATAATGAATGTAATAGTTGGGAAGATTATAATGAAGATATTTCGGAAAGTAAAAAACACGATTTTAACAAAGTAGCGACTTCCAAGGAAACTTTTGCGGCACCCCAGAACACTCGAGGTTTCATTGACCCAAGAATGATTCGAGAAAGAGAAAAGCAGCTACAGAATATTGGTAACTGGAATGAATTTGAAACGCAGAGTGGAGGAATGCAAAGCTCCAAAGATATTAAAAGTGAAAAAACAGGGCGGCAGGAAAAAAATGTTGATCATAATGAAGAAGATTTTGAGTTACAGAAAAATTTAAATGAAACAGAGAAAAATTATGATGGATGGACTGATGCTTATGAAACCGAGAAAAATTATGATGGCTGGACTGATACCTATAAAACCGAGAAAAATGATGATGGCTGGACTGATACTTATCATGTTAGTTATGATGACAAAACAGCGAAGCAGAGAAAATCATATCCAGAAACGAAATTCAAAGATGATGATTCAAGGATGTCACTAGGAGATAAAAAATGGTATAGCAAGGTGGAAAAAATTAAGATGCATGAATATGACAGAAGTTACGAGAAAACAGATGACGAGTACAAAGAGTTCAATTTAAAGTTTCGATGGAATGAAGATTATAAATACGTCAAGGTTATTGAGAAAGAACAAGATTTGTTTATGATGCCAAAGGAGTATTCTTTAGGACATTGTGTTGCTGAAGACTTGAGGATGGGCAGTGGAATTGCTGTAACTTTCAAGTAAGTCATTATGTTACGTTTTCCCAGAGGATATGACATGAATCGACTACACTGAACAATAATAAAAATTAACTTTATTTTACTTTTAATACAATAAAACCCTTTAACTAAAACTTCAACTATTATTCAAATGTCTATCGCTATATTAGATTGTTCCTTATACCACACTGTCACTAAACTTGACTATCCCGATAGGCGAGTGGATCGCGTTTATATCTGGCAATCGAAGGCGGTAGAAAACTCTTTGGAATTCTACCGAAGCCGGTGGAATATTCGAGATTCCATCGAAGTCGGTGCGAAGGCTAGAATAATCGAGGATGCGCGCGGTTTCGATGAAGTCACAGTTGGTTTATGGTTACCAGTGGTGGCCGGCGTTATTTTCTTCAGGTTTCACCGTTCAATTGAATGTAGTTGACGTTACTTGGTGAATGTTATGGGTTTGAACTTCCACTGTCTAAAATAAAAGTGATTACAGATTTGACAAAAAAATGTGAAAAAGAAAAGAAAGCATATTGAATAATAAATACGATTATGATGACTTTTATATTTCGTTCATTTTTTCTTTTTCACATCTTGTAGATATTCTCTGTTGTTTTTTATCAGACAATGGAAGTTTGAACCTCTACAGTCAATCAAGATTTACTTTATTGTCGAAAGAACAAAACGCATATTGACAAAGTATAAAATATACAATTATCAAGATCAATGTTTTTTACAGTCCATATTTTAAGTTGATCTGACTAAAGCCATCTCGGAAACGGTAAGACCTACAAGGTCAGTTGAATTGGACAAATGTTTCCAATTTTGAGGAACTATAATAATCTCTTTTCAGATTGAGAATATCAGTGGTACATACATTTTCAAGTATTTGCCAAAAACTAAAATGGTCGAATTCCGTTTTTTGGCTCTACCATTTATATTTCAAATGATGTAAAAAAAATGCAGAGGCTGTTGTATATTTCTTATAATCTGATATAAACCAATTTTCAATGCGACGTTTCGTTCATTAGATTTCATCAACTGTATTTTTTTAAATACGGGTCTCTAGTTTTTTAGTCACTGTAGAAAATGGTTAAACACACACAGTTATCTACATTATTCATTACTAAAAATCACATTTAGAAGACTTTGATTGAAAATTTCCAGTGTTGTTAACTCGCATAAGTTCCTTGCTTTTTAGAATATTCCATGACTTCCATAATATACATAGAGTTCTTGAGAAAAAAAGGCTTTGACTTTTTTCTCCATCTTTCTATAAAAATCAATCTCTTTAAAATATGCCCCTTTCAAATTGAATAGATACAGTTCTACTATTCAAGGATGCCTCTCTAATTACAATATTTCTTCAAAACAAATTTCAGGAGGGAATTTAAAGAGTTGGATGATCTTTTAAGTCAAAGGCAAAGACAAGGAGGGTTAGCGGTACTCAAGAGTGAAAATAGATATATCTACTACTTGGTTACCAAGAGACTTTCAACGGGAAAACCAACTTATGAAACTTTCTGGAGTTCTTTGAAGAAAATGAGGGATCACATAATAAGTCATGATGTAAAAAAATTGGCGATTCCTAGGATTGGTTGTGGCCTCGACAGACTAGACTGGGTCAAGGTTAAATTCATGATCGAGTTTCTGTTCAAAGCGATCGACATTGAAATTGTTGTCTGCAATTTCCAGCAGGTAAGAAGAAGTCATTTTTATGCATTCATTGATTGATTGAAACAGTATATATCACAAAAAAACATCTTGGAACTCCCCAACAATTAAAATTATATTCAAGCTTCCAAGACAAAACTTTTTGTTGGTAAAGGTCTCCCCGATTCATTTTAATGGTAGCAAGATATTCTACTTAACTATTAATGAATGATATAGATCAGTTGAAAAAAATTCAACCATATCATGCTGAAATTACCCATTCTGCTGTGATAGGAATCGCACGTAGAAACACAAGACCTCGTTAGTCCTTAGCTTGCACTAGTTGTCGTTCGTAGGGGAGGGCGACATCAAGTTAACGAAAAAACCGATGACTTTGAGCTAATATAAAAATCAAATACTATTCACTTTTATAGAATTTTAATGATTTGTATTGATGTTTTAATCAGTTGTATCCATAAGTTGGGTTTTTTATTGTTATTATCCTCATGCATCATTTCACTTTTATTGCCTTATATTTTTATTTTTTGAAGGTTCCATCGAAAAGAAATATAATGTTTTCATTAAATGGATAGTAAAAGTTTGTACCACTTGTAAACATTTTTCTGACTCAAGAGTACAGTCACCGTATGCCACGTTTCAAGTGTTTTTGTGCACTCAATTGAATTTTTTACACAAAAATTTATGCAAATTCCTCAATCCATTTTTTTGATAAAAACTTCCAACTTTCATGCCTACAAACTAAACATGGTAATCAGCTTAAACTGTGAACATATGCTCGAGACGAGTATACCAACATAAATAAATCGCTGATCGATCGAATGCACTCAGCCCGCGAAATTTGAATATTCACTTTATTTTTTGAACAAACCCCATATTTCCTCAAGGGTAATTTGGTGCGCGAAATAAATCAAATTCAAAAAATGTTGAAATATGGTTCAAAACAATCTAATGTTTAAGGAAAATAAAACTCAACACATCATTTTTACATCAAACACGTCTTGGGTTGAAAGATACAGTGTTAAACTTTTAGGCATACATCTAGATCAGGGGTGGCCAACTTGATTAGACATAAGATCTACTGTTTACTGATGAAACCCTGTGCGATCTACCACTTACATACTTCTTGAAATCTTAAATGAAACAGCATAGTGTTTAGTACACAATCATAAAATATTTTTTATTGGACAGTCTTAGGAGTCTCTTTCGTATCACATATGGGATTGTTTCCTTAAATTTACTCAATACTTTGGAATGGAAGTCTGAGTTGATGATGTTTAATCAAAATTTATAGGTCCTATCTATATATTAGTATGAGCATTGCGTCGCAGTATCTTCCACTAGTTTAGCATAATCTGGTTTGTAGTTGGAAATTGCCAACCTTAAAGAATCCAATGTATGAGCGTCTGTCAAGCGAGAACGGTGTTTACTTTTTGTTTGTTTTAAGTAGGAAAATGCTGACTCACATAAATATGTTGAACCAAAACACGAATGAAGTTGTTTAACACATTTCTTCAAATTTGGATATTTTTCATTGGAGACCAATGCCCAGAAATCTTGACCTGAGAATGGTCTTGCTTTTAGAAATATGTCGCAGCGCAGAGTAATAATTTCGTTTTATAACATAATGTGCTCCATTTGAATTATATCTGCGAATTTTGTAGCCAATTCATAGATATCACTATGATCAATGGAATCATTAAAGGGATAACTGATGAATTGAACCAATTTCTCAATTTTTTTGAAATCACTAAAGCGAATTTCAAAGTCTGCTATCACTGCCCTAATTTCTGTCGTGTACTTCTCAGAAATGAAATTGTAGGTAGGATGTTTTTCCATATGGCCCTTGATGTTTACAAATTGTTCAAATTTTGTCTTCTCTATGTCAACTATCATAGACGCTGTTTGACTTTGAAATGCTGCAATAGAACTCATCATTTCTGTTAATGTTTTATTCTTGCCTTGTAGATTCAGATTCAATGTACTCAATTTTCTAATAAAATCGGCCAAGAAAGCTAAATCACATTGCCAGTCTAAATCACGTTGCGCAGTCTGGTCTAATTATTTATATTTTTTGCCTTTCCACGATCGACTAGACTAATGGTCGCGATCGACCGGTTGGCCACCCTTGATCTAGATGATACTTTGAACTGGTTAGGTCACATTGAAGAAATACGCATTTCTTCTTCGGAAATTGAAAGACGTAATCTCTCCACAGGCGCTATTATCAGCTTACTACACCTTTTTCCATTCTCACATCTCATATGGAACAATTCTTTGGGGAAATAGTACTAACGCATGTGGATATTTATGTTACAAAAAAAGGCCATAAGGATATTATCTGGGGCTGGTTTCTTAGACTCTTGTAGACCTCATTTCCTTTTAGTGAAAATAATGACAGTACCTTCTTTGATAGATATTCATAAAAATTAATCAACATTAAACGGAAATTGTGACTTTCACGATCATAAGACTAGAGAATGTGATTTGTTGAGGGCCAGTAGATTCAGACTGAAAAAGTCAAGCAGAAACTCTATCGATGTCAACTTTACAATATTCTAACCCCCCCATGTCAAAAAGTTAAATCAATACTTGTTCAAAAAGTATCTGAAATATCTATTGATTACAAATTGTGTTTACTCTACTGACGAGTATATAGCTGTCTTATCCAAAGAAACACAAATAAAGGGCGAAACAGTATAATATTCATTTTTGGGTAATAATGTATGTGTGTATAGTGTATAATATGTGACCTATCTTATTTGTATTATATTTGTATACATCTAAAAGATCAATAAATTATCTTATCTTATCGGAGTGATTATGAATAATATGAAATTGAATTTTGTGGAAAATTTTCAATGATATCAAGTCACTATTGAAATGTCCTTTCGATGGAAGACATGAATGTTTGGAGTTTTTTCGTGTGGTTCATGGTGAATGTAATTTAGTGAAACTTGGTCAAAATATTGCTACAGATTGATAGATGTATTGTAAAATTTTGTTGCAGAATTATGGCAAAACAAAACAAAAGTTACAAACCACCCCTGACTTGTCGTCTAAGTCAAAAATAAAAAAGGGAACCCCCACTACTACTCCTAAGTCTAATAAGGGGAAAGGAAAGAACAAAAAAAGATAACACGACGTTTTAGTTTTATAATGTTAATTATATTTTTATGATTCTTATAACTGAAGAATGTTTTTCATTCAGCATTTTTAAACTTTTTAAAACTCTGATGATGATTAAACGTATTGCATTATTTATGAAGTTTTATTTTCTTGTAGATGGATGACACCCCTCAAAAAGATAGTCAGTCTACCCGGCTAGTGTATCATCATGAACCTCTCACAGATATAGACGAATATACAATTATTTTGTATTTCTCCACAGAAGACGGTCATGTATCTACTGAAATGCAGGAATTGGATAAAAAGTTCAGCTTTCTACCTACCTTCAAACGGTCTCCAAAGAAACTCGGTGTACCTGTAAGAATAAACCCGAACAAGAGAAACTATATTTTATATGGTTGCATAGTTAGAAAAAAAATTAACGAGCTGTTCGATTTTAGGGCTTTTGCAAAGTGTCTTTTGGAAATCACTAAAAATAATAGGAGAGACAAGTATGAATACGTAGCTCTAGAACCTGTTTATGATGAACCTGAAGACTTGTTGAATGAAAAAATAATTACTTTACTTAGGAATTGTCTCAGACATGTCGACATTTATTTATGTTCACGTAATATTTCTGAAACAGACTTTAGTCGTGATAAAAAGGAAAAACAATAATGAAATTTATTTGAACTGAATGGACCTCACGGGTTTGTTACCTTTATTTTAATGAACAGTTATAAAAGGATTATTCAGTGTTAATTTTGTTGATTCGGAATTACTGAATCGAAGTTTTATCCTACTTGTGAGTATATATTTTATTTTTTGCTGAACCAAATCTCATATTTTCTTTTTGGATAATTTCAATGCTTTCACCATTTCATGATAAATTCGCAATAGTAGTTCTGCGGACTGATGGACAAAATTTTTTGTCATATTTTATACCATAGAAGTTTAACTGATTATTCTTCACATGATATTAATCGATATTTTTTAAATTTTAATATTTTTCATTTCACATGATCCTATCTCAGTATAAGAAGGTTCATAACTTCTGTTTCGGTCATACCTTGTTGAAAAAAATTGCCATCCGGATTGAACACTTTTTACAACACTATATTTTACTTCTTCAGTGTAACGTATTCCTGTTTTGATTATTCTTGTGTCTTCATTTAGACACTTTTTTTTTACTCTCTTTTATGAACATAATGCGGATTTCACACATTTATAGCGGTATGATTTTTTGTAGACCAAAAAAAAATTTTTTTGCAAAGATTGAGTCACGTCAAACGTTGAAAATCGCTTTGGTCAAAACACGAAGCCCCAGATTAAAAACGGGAGTACTCCACAAAACTTGTTTCTCATTATTTCAAAGTAGTTCAATTGAACCCTGGATGAAGGTATCGCCTACTTGAATGTTTGACAATTTTTTTTCGTGGGAGTGATATTCTTTGTAATAATAACTCAATGAATTTTATATTTGATGCTTTACATATATAAACAACAAATTTTTGTGCTAAAAAGTATCATTAGCCAGGTATTAATACATTGGTTGCAGTTGCTTTGAGCAAACTGGAGTTTTTTCAGAATTTTTCTGGAAGAAAGTGTGGTAGAGTTAACAAAATCTCATCTAACTTAGACGTGTTTTTTCCAAAGTGGTTAATTAAACTAGCCAGATGCCGTTTAAACAAGTTGGTATTATGGAGACTTTCGACATGAGTGCCTATTTCATATTATATTTATTTCGAAAAAAAGTCGAAGAGACGATTCAAGTTGTTTCCAAATTATCTGGAGAGGAATTGAAAGTTATCGTGTCGGAGACTAGATTTATTTTTTAATGAAGTGTTTAAGACATTATAGTTATATTATTAACCTATCTGCTTTTTTCCTGTAACAGGGTAAAATATGTACTACTTTGTAAATGCTTCAGTTAACCTTTATTTGTAAAATAAATTGTCACAGAAAAATGTGTTTTCTTTCAATCTACAATATACTGGGCATCACTTTGGACTAGGCAGTAGCCTACGCTGAAGTTGCATTTTGAAATGAATAACAAACTCAAGATACTGGATCAGATAAATTAAAATACATGATTATGAACACAAAGTTTGACTTACAAAATAAAAACCGTACTTTACAGATGAAGGTTTAAAATAGATGTCCATTTGAAACCTTCAACTTCAGCTAACCTAATGACATTTTTCCCAAATAATGGCACTAGTTTCTGAAACGTACTGTATTCCACCAAAGTTTGAATATCACCTACAACTATGAGTTTATGTTTGGCCCTTGTTATAGCTACCGTAAGTCTTCTTTTGTCCTCCAATATTTCAAACTAGAAAAAGTAAAAAGATGAAAATAAAGATTAAACAAACAAAAAAAGAATATTTCCTTTTCAGAAGCAACAATCATTCAAAAATGTTCAGCACCAAAACAGAAAAACACGTCTTACAATCATTAATATTCATTCTATATTACTGTAGATTCTCTGAATTGTTGACTCGTTAATTTGAGAAAGTATTGGCATCATCTGGAGTACAAGTTTTGCCCCTCCTGAGATAAACATATACACACATCGGAAAAGTCTAGGGATATTTTTATAACATACTAAATATCATAAAAATGAATGTATTAGGTCTTTTAATTTCGATTAAATTGGTACACTCGACCACCCTATTGATTTCTATGGGTTGAACAAAGCCTGCAAAAACGGTAACTAATCTTTTATCAAGTTTTTTACAAACTGTAGGTTTTCGGCTAAAATGAATAATCTGAAAGTGTCGCGTTTGTACATTCTATGCAGTTCTTGCTCAGCAATTAAACTGGAAATATTGTGCTTTAACATGGAACGCCATCACTTACCATTGGCTGAGATGAATAGAGCTGTAGGGCTTCTTCAAGGTGGCATGCGACAAAATGATGTAGCTCTTCGTTTGGGGGTCTCCCAAAGTGTTATCAGTCGATTGTGGCGGCGTTTCCGTGAAACTGGCAGTCTAGCCGAACAATATCCAGGGCGAGGACGCGCTACAACTGCAGTTCGAGACCGATTTTTGGTCTTAACCGCAAGAAGACAACCGACAATCACAGCACCTGAGTTGGTTAACGTGTTGCAGCAGACGCACCAGGTAACCATTGGTCGTGATACTGTCAGAAATCGACTGCATGAAGCAGATCTCCATAACAGAAGGCCACTTAGATGTCCACCTTTGTCGAGAGGCAATCGCGGTAGAAGATTAGAGTGGTGTCAAGAACATCAAAACTGGGATGCAAATGATTGGGCCACAGTTTTGTTTACAGACGAATCCAGATTTGGATTTCATCCAGATTCTCGTCGAGTAAGACTGTGGAGACGACCTGGAAATACTGAACGTTTGAGACACGTCCAGGAAGTCCACACATACAGAGGTGGTACAGTGATGCTAAAGGGCGGAATCATGATCGGCGGCAGAACCGATCTCGTTTTTCCAAATCGCTCCCTTACAGCTCGACAGTACCTCGACATCATTCTTCTACTTATCGTCCGTCTGTTTGCTGGTGCTGTTGGTGAAAACTTCCACCTAATGCACGATAATGCTCGTCCACATGTTGCGCGTCTAGTGACTGACTGGCTCACCAAAGAAGGAGTTGATGTATTGCCATGGCCAGCACAATCACCGGACCTGAATCCCATCGAGCATGTGTGGGACATGCTTCAACGAAGAATTACTCCGCATATGGGGAACATTCACACAACGTTTCAATTGAGAGAGCTTTTAATCGCTGAATGGGCAAATGTACCTCAACAAGACATTGACAATGTCATTTTGTCGATGCACGATAGATGTAGGGCCGTAATAAACCAGCGTGGTGGCCATACTTTGTACTGATTCCAATTTTTTTGTATTATGATTTTTTTTTGGGGTGCCAAAGAAGAGCCATATTTTTTTTTTAGTTTTGCTTATATGCGCTCTCAGTATTTTTGACCATTTAATAAATTTTGTTGTAAGTTACATTCGTTTAATAATCACTCGTCAACTTTTTTTCCCTAAAGCGATTTAAAAAAAAAATATTGCCATTTTTAAAAATATCCCTAGACTTTTCCGATGTGTGTACTTTATTGTCCAAGAAAATACAATCTTATTGACAAATCTTGTTCAAAAATCTGGTATGTACAGCACTTCAAAGAATAACAGAAAAGAGAATTCAAAAACACAAATACCCAGAAACAAAATTTGAGCAAAACTAAGTTCATATATCTAATAGATAAAATATAACAATGAAAAATAAAATTTAACAACGTTTGTAGACAAAATAGTTTGTATAGTCCCTTTCAAAAAATGTAAAAAACAAATATACACAATTTTAACATAAGTTCACATGTCAATATAAAAAACAAAAAAACATATATTGAATCACAGCAAAGTTCCATTGTAATATTCATCAAGATTGTAGTAGGCTTTTGTTGCAAGGGCTTCTTTAAGAAAGATTTCTGAACTTTTTATAGCTTTTTTCCTTCCTAATTTCATAAGGTATGTGATTATACAGCTTTTTACTTTCATAAATTGAAGAATAACTTGTCTGACTTGTTTTTGAAACAGGAAGATGTATTTTATTTTCTGTTACTTGCTGAGTTATGTAATTTATATGTTCCGGAGTTCCAACCATATTATGTTTTTTGTAAATCAGGCAAACAGTTTCCCGTATGAAAATACGAGTGGGAACAGTGGGAATTGTTTCTCTCAAAAATAATGTTCTGCACGACTCAAGCACTCCCACCTTGCATAAGTATCTGTATAAGTATCTGTTGACTGCAAAATCCCCAGAAGGCAACACCATATCTCAGGTACTCAATCAGGGAATGAGATACCATTTTTGTTGTGGATGAACTCGGTTCATTTGAAACTATTCGAAGTGCATAACATCCTGATGCCACTTTTTTATTCAAAGCTGAAATATGTTGATCAAATTTTAATTTGTTATCCATGAAAATTTCGAGGAATTTGGATTAGTTTTTATTCTCAAAAATTTGTCCATTCAAGTAGCAAAGCACAAGTAGTTTGCGTCACACCATTTTTTGACAACTTCTAAATCACTAGAGACAGTTTCATAGAAGTATTTTTTCCATGCCAAAGGAGCGTGGTGTCATCCGCAAAGATCGTAAACATTCCTTGAATTGAGAGAGTGACAAGGTCATTTACATATATAAGGAAAAGAATCGGGTCCAGTACAGATCCTTGTGGACCGCCCCATAAGATATCCTTAGTGTGTGATAGTTTTTCGTTTGATCTTACTGTTTTCTATCACTTAAGTAAGACCTGAACATATAACCTGGCAGGTATACCAATGATTTGAAAAACCTCAACTTCCTGAATTCTCTGAAATTGTTTTCAGTGTTATTAAAGTCGGTGGCTTTTCTGTATAACCTGCTATGGAACATTGTGATTGCCTTATAGTGAAAGCTGCAGTGCAAGACAGATAATGAATCTTGTTTGTCAGTCCATGTCAAAGTTTGCTTTTGCAACTGACTGCCATGAGTAACCTTGTTAATCTTTGACATTTGGGAAGAGCAATAAATTATTATAAATTGTGTGAAGTTTGTCAGGTCCCATTATATTCAATACTTTACAGGATTGTTGACCATTGGCCTACGACAAGGCCCGGCATGGCAATACCTTATGTGTTTACAGTTTTGGTGACGATAGATCATATACAACCAAAAAGTAGGAAAGTCATTTTTCAATGAGAAAATTTATTGTAACTTTTTAGAAGACTTTACTGAAACCATTCCTACATGATAAAAATACAAACCAACCTTGTTTACAGTCCTAGGAGTAGAAACATCTCTCGATTTGGTGCAAGAATATATAATCACACTTTTATCTTTTCCTTGAAATCGATCAACGGTGCTAACATCAATATGCTCTGATTGTACCAGAGCTGAAATCTGAGCTACTTGATTTCGGTATGTAGCAATCACACCAATCTGACAAGCAGCAACTCCGGCCTAGAAACAAAAAAAAAATAAATATCCAATTGAACAAACTTGAAATATTAAAATTTATATGACATTCAAACCTAATTACAATGATGTCTAAAAAATTGGCTGATTTTTAGATTGAATGAATAACTTTCGGTGCCCTTTTTTGAATATATATTATTACCTGTTGAGGGCAACAAAGTATTTTCGTCATGTTTAAGTGTTTTTTTCACTTTCTCATCAGTCCACAAGTCATCAAAAAATATTACCTTCAATAATGCTTTGATTAGATTCACAGTAACAGCTGCCTCGTAAATATTAACGGATGAATCACTCTCAGATTGGCTATTTTCTTCTGTTCCGACATACATTTTCTGGGTCATCCATGATACACTTTGTTGTAAATTCCAAACCGGTCCAGTGTCTATGAACTGAATAGCATTTTGCAAAGAACTATCAAGGGCTTTAAGAATCCAATCATGACCTTCTATTACTGATCCAAGAACCTAGAACAATCATTGATAGAAATAAAACATGAATAAATGAACTTCACCACTATTCATTTTAAAATTACATGCTACAAAACTGTGTAAGTGTGAAACTGTAGTAAGACATTTTAGAAACTTGGGAATTTTGGAGGTAGCACTGCCACATACCAAGACATCTGCAGGCATAAACAAATATTTACGTCGGTAACCAGGCCGGAGCAAACAGGATGTTGACAACAACAAACTTGAATACCAAGAGAAAAGAGATCACTATAGATTTTATAATTTGATAACGAATGAACAAAGTTATACTTTTGTTGCCAGACCAAAGCAAACCAGATGTTTACAACAACAAACTTGAATACATAGAGAAAACAGATCGAGATCTTCAGATGATGTGGTGCTGCAGGTTTTTCCGGGTTTTCCTGCAGCTGAAAAAGCAAATGCGCCACTGGAATCAATGAAGTCGCCCCGGAGCGCCAATTAATTTTAATAGTTGTTTTTATTTTATTTTTATCGTTGTTTTAATAGAAAATCAAATATCTGTCAATTTTAATTACGATCGAACAGAGTTATACTTCTGTTACCCTTTCGGTGATTCTAACATTTTAAACACACGACAATAGGACATATAAACACAGAAAAATATTAGCTTTTGAAAAATTAATATCAGATTTGATAGATTCTGTAACATGGAAAATAATGTTGAAATACAATAACTATGGCAAACCCTCCCCTTTGTGGGGGGCCAACACCATAGTATACTAATCAACTTCCATCCAGAACTGAGCTGGCTATAGATTATGTGATCAACATATTGGAGAAATCAATACTCGAAACTACACTAAGTACAATGAATTGAAATACCTCTTCGTTCGGAAGCTTCAGTGTAGCCTTGGCCACCTCTTCGTTGCCGACCAAAAGATTCCCTTCATATGTGAATTTATTGGCCAAGTCTGTAATAACACTGTTCATACGATAATTCAGATTCAAAGCTACCATTGCTTCTTCTTTGTACAATCTCTCGAACAAGCTCTCTGACATTCCCAGTTTCCTAAAAACAAATCAATCTGATAGGAATGAGTTAAATTGTATTTATTAATGGCAAAAGGAGAAAAAGCTCGTACTCAAAAAAATCTACTTACAACTGAGTTATCTTAACCTTATTTTACAAAATGATACATGAGCAGTTGTAAACAATTTTTATGTTTTAAAACTAAGTATATTTTTCCTAAATACAAACAAGCTGACAATGAATTGAAGGGGTTATTTTTTTTAGGAGTGATTAATTTTTGGGAAAGAAAGTTTTTGGCTTTCTACTACTCCATCTTGATACAAAAAAGAAGGATGAGGAAGTCTTCCAAAGAAAGGAAGGAAGTAACTCTATACATGAATGATATCTGATTTTTATTCCACAACGAATGTTTGAAATACAAACTGAGTAGAGAAAAGTATCTTCTGTATAATTCAGTGTTCATATAGAAGTATTTGTTTCGGAAGAATTTTATTTCGTATAATTCAATGTTTATATGAAAGTAGCTGTTTCAGGAGGACTTTCTTTCAGTTTGTGTCTGAAAGTTACTTCTTTGCATGATCTACACATCCATGTATAGAGTTGCTTCCTTCCTTTCTTTGGAAGACTCAATCATCCTTCTTTTTTTGTATCAATATGGATTAGTAGAAAGCCAAAAACTTTCTTTCCCAAAAAGTTGACAGCATTCGAATTTGAAAAAAATATGTACAATGTCAGCAGAAATCATCTAAATTTTCATATATCTGTAGTTCAAAGTAACAACAGCGAAAAGGAATCCCTTCTTAAATCTAATGAAACTTTTAATTCTCTTTTAAAGGATTTACAAAATGTAAATAATTATACTATTTTAAAAAAATATTTTATATTAAAAGTACCTATTGTAACTTTCATTTTTATTGATACGTTTTGTATAAATTTTGTCAATACCTTGCATTAGTATCTTTCACAACGGCTGGTAACTGATCAGGATCCCCAATCAGGATGAACGTTTTTGCTGCGTACAGCGGTCTTATCACAGAACTTTGTAGTACTTGGGTACTTTCATCAACTATGCAAATATCCATAGTGCGTTTTGTCAAGACTGGATGTCCCGAACCAAAACAAGTCACAGCCAAAATTTTCTGTAAAAAAAAAATCATTATGAAAAGTATTGCACACAATAGGATTTCAATAAAACTTACCGCGCTATTATAAACCTCTTCAAATTGTTCTGGGGAAGTGCAATGTTTCGTAAGATTATGCTCCGAGTATTGTTTCAGTTTGGGATGTATCTTGGACTCTGCACCCAGCCTCATGAGTTTCACTCCGTAAGTCAATAGTTTCAAGCAGACATTATCGACTGCTGAATGTGTATGGCTAGTTATGAGAATGGTTTTGTTCAGCTCGTATAATAATTGAATGAGGGCCACTATGGTTGCAGTTTTTCCTAAAAATTCACTTTGATCAGGTCTGAAATAGGAAAATGTTATAATGGTATAGAGAACGAATAGCAAAGGCATTTGAAAGGTCACAGTACAAGCCTACTGATAGCAAAAAACCTCGGTAGGTTTGTACTATGACCTCTCAAAGGCCTTTGACATGGTAAATCACGAAAAAATCCTGAATAAACTGAAGAAGTATGATATAAGGGGTGTTGTTTATGAACTCATTAGGATATACCTATCAAAACGATCCCAAGCTGTTTGCATAATGAATTTACACAATCATTATATATCTAGTAGAATCATAATTAGGCAGGGTATACCTCAGGGCTCGATTCTTGGACCAATACCCTTCCTTCTGTATGTAAACGGCTTTCCCAAATCCTTGAATCTGGGTAGTGTATACCCGTTCGCAGATGACACATCAGTCATCATCAGAGAAACTAGTACATCAGAATTCTCAACCAGAGCTTCAGTCATGTCAAGTAGTATTGTCGCATGGTCAGAGGCAAATATGATTGAAGTAAATGTCACCAAAACAGGACTTGTAATTTTTAACAATTCAATTAACTATAAGGAATCGCTACATGTGAAACTACAAAATAAGTCTATTCTAATATCTGATACACCAAATTCTCAGGTGCCACGATGGATTCAACCCTTAGTTGGTAAACTCATATAAACTTATAGAATAACAGATTTAGCTCTATTTGTGGAGATCAAGTCTGGCAATAGGGCTATGCTTGAAGACTGGCAATAAACAGCATAGCAATCTTCAAGCATAGCCCACTGACTAATAAGAAAGTTTTTCTTCCTTATTCAGAGGAATCGGGCAAATTACGGATATGCAGTTGGTTAGTACCTCGTCCACTAGATGGAGTGATATTTTGTGATGTTCGCTCCAACTTCGGAAGAGGAATGAAATACTCTGAAAGAATTCTCAATTGTGGAATATCATTGACTTTAGGCCGATGAGGGTCACTATCGTGCACTGATGAGTGACTAATGAGCTCGAAACCGGTCTGCAAGTGTGCCAGTTCCAAAATTGAAGGTCGACTCTTTCAGTTGTATTGCCAATTGCATATGCAGGAAATTTTCTGTGAAGATTTCTGCACTGACGCCTGTCGCATATAATCTAACGCCCTTCGTGGTATTAGCCAGGGGAGTAGTTGTTTTCTGATAGGCGTCAGTCCATTCAACCTAGTGTGTAGGTATATTGAGACTGGCTTGAACGTTTAAAGTTCATTTCTTTAGATTAGTCTTGTATGCTTTGTAAAAAAATATTCTAACCTGTTTCCCAGAAATAGTGGTCGATATTCAAATAACATGACTATAAATACCAGGCATTGTAACGAACTGACTATCCCCAGCCATAACTCCACATATTATGGGAACGGAGCTTACTATCAGGTAACATAAGCATATAGTTCTCTACCGAAGGAACTTGAAAATATCAGTCTTCAAGAAGTTTGAAGTTCAGTAATTTCTTACTTCAGTTAAAATGCTACTAATCGTTTAACTGCTGGTTATGTTGAAATTTGTGACGAAAATTTATAATAAAAATAGGTATGTAAATGCTGTTTATCATGCATTTAAAAAAATATTCTTTACTTTATGTAATTTTCAACTGTAATTTAAAATAATGATGTACAGTACTTTTTTAGGTAAATGAGAGTTAACTTCTCGAATATTTGACTTTTGCTGTGTCAACTGTTAATCGATTTGTAATAAAAATTATTATTATGTAAAAAAAACTCTATAAATCCTAGTTTGTTTCTATAACAAAAATAATAAAAAATCACATAGCATTCAATGGACTGAATATGAAATATTTGAGCTTTTTAAAGCTCGCCAACCGCCAATAAAGACACACTTTCAACTCTATATCATCCTGTTCACAATGGAACAGCGTCTATTTTAATATAAGATTTACTTATTAAAGAGAACGGTGAAAATTAGTAGTATCGACTTATCTGTATACCTATCAACCCAATAGTTACAACCATTGTATATTTTTCATGCTTGATACTTTCGTTTAATATAAAATTTGTTCATTAAATAAATGAGAGTAATGTGTAATAGTTATTTTTAACCAATTTCGGCATGGTCCTGCCGCTGGATGAAAGAGAAACATCTGCGAGACTAACCTCTGCGAGGTATCTTGCATAAATGTCAGTTTGATATAATTCAATATCCAGTGTGATATTAGCCGGAGATGTAGTTGTTTTCCGGCAGGCACTTACCATTTACACCTACGGTGTAGGTAGTTGGGAGAGATGAACATTTCAAGACTTTATTTCGAAATTTGTACGACAGTTTCTCTCCTCGATACCGTCTTCAAACAAGTTTTAATCATAGTCTGGGCGGAGTTTTTCTAACCAATCCCTTCGTGATTTATTTCTCAACATAATACTCATGAAATAATTTTTTAATCTACCAAACAGATGGGTGAATGTCGTTTCTATTTCGGATCCTAGACTATCAGGGTTTTACAAAAATTTCATACCCAATTACCTGTACCCGGCATCCCTTTGATGAGGAAATACTCGTTGGCAGCTATTGCTTTGAGAACAGCTCTTTGTTGAACCTTGTTCAGGCGTTTCAGGATCTGTTTTCCAGCAGTACCAATCAGTTTTGGCAATGTAGTCTTGAATGTTGGAGGCGTCTTATCAATTATAATATCCCTCAGCTCTTCTCCCCTAAGTGTCATTTCAAGCAAGAGAGTAAGGCTGGCGAGGTTGTACGATTGTAATGAGGTAGATTCGTAGCTATCGATATGGAAAGGCTTCCCAGAGTATTTCTTGTTCAGATCCCTAAGAACATATATTGGTTGTTTCAAAAGTTTGGCCCGTTTCAATGTCATGTATTTTTGTAGCTCCATATCTCAATAAATACTTATTACACTGTATAATGGTGTATACAGATCGACAGAGAATTTTGTAGTCTATACATTAATGTTGTTAATAGAACATTTTCGTAGTAAAACTATCGTTTGTCTGCAGAAAATGAACTTCGCCCTTTATTTTCAGAAATGTTTTTATTTTTTGCATACAATGTTAAAATCTATATGTATATTATTTGAAAATAATAAAGACCTTTATTATTATTATTAATATTTTTCCAAATGTTGATTTTTTTAACCTTTTCAGCTTATTTTGAGCGATTTTCGGCCAATTTTTCTCTACGAATTCAAATTGAACCAAAGCGCTGCCGAAACAGCCCGAAAAATGAATCATTCATTTGGCTTTCAATAGTGTTAATGAATGTGCTGTTCGACGTTGGTTAGAGAAATTTCGTTCCGAAGATTATAACCTCGAAGATGAGCCCCGAAATGGTCGACCTACAGTTATCCAGACAGAGTATTTGAGGACCTTGGTGGAGACTGACCCATCACAAACAGTGCGGTGGAGGGTCGAATAGACCCACTCACATTGGACCTAACCTTACCTAACTATTGTGAGAAAGTTGACGAAATGTACCAAAAATTTCGTACACAGCAGAAGAGATTCGGTCCGCCCAGAAATTGAACAATTTAAGCGTCGAAGTTCTGCCTCACCACCATACTCCCCAGACATCTCGCCAATCGACTACCATCTTTTCAAGCACTTCGATAACTGTCCACCAGTAGAACCTTCGCTAATCATGACCAGGCAGAAACGGTCTTCGTCGACTTCATCGAATCCCGGGAACACAATTTTTATGTTGACGTAATTCATCGACTTGTGTTACGTTGACAAAAGTGAACTGATTCAAATGACAGTTATTTCAATTAAATTGAACAAATATTCACTGAGATATTACAGATTGAAGGAGACTCATAAAAACGGACAAAACTTCTCTGAAACAACCTAAACATTGTTGTTGTCACAGACATTATAGAATAAATAGGTTATTTTGGAACGCTGGTAACGGAAGTGAGATAAGTAGTACTAAAAACAAATTATTGCAAAAAGAATAAAATGGAATATTTTCAAGGTTGATGTTACTCTTGATAGTTGCAATCTGAAGCTGATTGATTTTGAATTGTAATAAAGAAAAATAATTGGTTTATACCAAAAAATGAAAAGTGGTCTCTATACTTGTCATTATCTACCACTATTGTTAATTTTCTTTGAATTAATGAGAAATTACATTTCTCATTATTAACAAGGTCATAATAAAATTAAAAGTGCTCTCTATATTTTTCATTATCTAACACTTGTGTTTATTTCCTTTAAATTAATGATAAATTACATTTCTCATTATTAACGAGGCCACAAAAAATGAAAAGTGTTCACCATACTTTTCACTATCCAACACTTCTGTTTATTTCTTTAAATTAATGATAAAATACAAATGAAAAGTGGTCACTATACTTTTCATTATTTAACACTTGGGTTTATTTTCTTTGAATTAATGATAAATTACATTTCTCATAATAAACGAGATCATTAAAAAATGAAAAGTGGTCTCTATACTTTTCATTATCTAACACTTTTGTTTATTTTCTTTGAATTAATGTTACACTTTTCATTATCTAACACTTTTGTTTATTTTCTTTGAATTAATGATAAATATTTCTCATTATTAACGAGGTCATAAAAAAATAAGTGTTCACTATACTTTTCATTATATAACACTTGTGTTTTTTCTTTGAATTGATGATAAATTGCATTTCTCATTATTAACGAGGTCATTTGAAAATGAAAAGTGGTCACTATACTTTTCATTATCTAACACTTGTGTTTACTTTCTTTGAATTAATGATGAATTACATTTCTCATTATTAACGAGGTCATAAATAAATGAAAAGTGCTCTCTATACTTTTCATTATCTAACATTTGAGTTTATTTTCTTAGAATTAATGATAAATGAAAAGTGGTCACTATACTTCTCATTATCTAACACTTGTGTTTATTTTCTTTGAATTAATGATAAATTACATTTCTCACTATTCACGAGGTCATAAAAAATGAAAAGAGGTCACTATACTTTTCATTATCTAACACTTGTGTTTATTTTCTTTGAATTAATGATAAATTACATTTCTCATAATAAACGAGATCATTAAAAAAAGAAAAGTGGTCTCTATACTTTTCATTATCTAACACTTTTGTTTATTTTCTTTGAATTAATGTTAAATTACATTTCTCATTATAAACGAGGTCATAAAAAATGAAAAGTGGTCTTTACACTTTTCATTATCTAACACTTTTGTTTATTTTCTTTGAATTAATGATAAATATTTCTCATTATTAACGAGGTAATAAAAAATTAAGTGTTCACTATATTTTTCATTATGTAACACTTGTTTTTTTCTTTGAATTGATGATAAATTGCATTTCTCATTATTAACGAGGTCATAAAAAATGAAAAGTGGTCACTATACTTTTCATTATCTAACACTTGTATTTATTTTCTTTAAGTTAATGATAAATTATATTTCTCATTATTAACGAGGTCATTAAAAAATGAAAAGTGGTATCTATCCTTTTCATTATCTAACACTTGTGTTTATTTTCTTAGAATTAATGATAACTGAAAAGTGGTCTCTATACTTCTCATTATCTAACACTTGTGGTGTGTACATAATTTGCTCAAATTCATACCTATCCAAAGTAACTGAAATACTAGAGGCCGTAATATCAGTAACAAATCCTGCCGCTACTGCCGGTCTCTCATCAGTACTGATGACAATATAATTACTTTCCATAATTCCGTTCGCCAAAAAATTATCTTCAGATTCAGTATCCATTTTTTCGAATGTATGTTCACAAATGCCATCACACTCTTCCATCACAGAAGTAACTTTCAAGTTTATTATGCATCTTCCATTCATTTCCCTGAAAAAAAAAAATGAAACGACTATACATAACTGAAAATTGTTAACACTGATTTGGAGCTCGAACCCATGATAACATTTCAAACTAAAGGAACTCCATTAGTAGCGGATTATTAGGAGCACATGTGGATGGATCTCCATACTGTTGTAAATCATCCCCTGAGAAAAAAAGCCGGCCGCCGCTGGTCGTCCTAAATCCATTGTGACTTGGCCAAAATCGCGCTCAATTCGACTTGCGCTTCGCAATTGTTCTACATGTCGCATCGCTTCGAGAGACTTCTAGCGGCTTCCCTATCGCCTTCAAGAGACTTTGATCACCATATATAAGCACTACCAATAGAAAGAGGAAGCTAGTCTAGTTGAAAGTGCGGTATGAAGTGTTTTTGTTGATAAGTTTATTTGTACAGTGTAGTCATTCATTGTCAAACCCACGGGGAAAACGTAATAATACTATTAATTGAAAACTTCTACAGATGAAAAGAAAACGCGGGTTCTCTAGTTTCAATTGAGTTAACAGAGGGCGCTGATATTAAAATGTGTTCCATCAACAGAATGAAATGTTGTCCATGTTCCAATAGTAACAACATTTAAAATGTACCTACCGTTGTTGAGGTGTTTGAGTGTAAATTTCTCTCACATCCTTAGCAGAATTTTTCGCGTTTGCCTCATAGGATATCAGAGTTATCCATTTCATGAAGTAATTTAAATGGGATTCCTTCAGATGGGCCAATGCATTTTCTTGAATATCCTTCAAGATTTTATTGGATGATATATCCTCTTCCATATATCTGGAAGATAATGAATTAATTCAGTTTGAAAATGCGAGGAATCGTTACAATAGAGAATTACTTTGAATTTGCGCCAAGGACAATTTTATTTTCAAAAATTTGTGAATTGAAAAAATAACTGTGCGTCTCAGGACGCTCGACAGAAGTGATAACTTAAACTAATCTAAGTTGAACTATTAAATATTGAAATTGTTCAACTTGAGAAAAGCTTAGGCTATTACTTAAATTTTATGTATATTAATATGTTAATATAAGGAAAGGTTATTATTTTGTGTATGTACATATATGTACATAGTCCAATTGTTAGTTTTGTAGAATTAAATAATGATACTAATAATGTACATACAATAAATTAGTATATTTTTAAGCCATGTTTCACATAATGAAAAAATATTTCGTGCTCACTGCTTAGATTTTCATAATACTGTCAACAGTACATGTCTAACGCACACTAAAAACGGATCGTCTGTCCGACGAGAGAGGAGGAGTCTGCCTTCCACTGACATATGCGTAAGAGAAAGGGAAGCCAGACAAACTGGAGCCTTTATGTATTAGGTAACGAATCGTTGGTATAACCCTCCCATAAGAAGTTATCACTTCAAAAAGGAATCCTTCACACCTTGAAATCCTTCAAATCAACGTTATTGAGACAAGGCTTAATCAAGAAAGTCGGTAATCAACCACATGGTGTCGATAGAAAAATTAAAAAAGCTGACTCAAATTTTGTTATTCACGCCAGATATTTGAAAAAATTTAACTATTTGTGTACCACAAACAAAAACTACAATAACGAAGAAATCAATGACTATTTTTTAAACGTGGCTGGACATTCAATAGTAAATAATAACACTCTTTCATTCTACAATAATAATAAATTGAACGCTCCTATGAACTTTTCCATCATCGATATATGTGATGATGACATTTTGACTGCTATCAAAGAAATAAAATCTAATGCTTTAGGTATTGACAATATAAATATCAAGATGATTTCTTTAGCGATACCACACTGTATTGATGAAGTTAAACATATTTTCAACGAGTACTTCAGACAGGGTATTTTTCCAGATGTTTGGAAGGTTGCTATTATAATTCCAATTTCGAAAAAGAATGCACCTACCACGTTCAGTGACCTACGCCCTATCAGCATTCTGTCCTCATTCTCTAAAATATTCGAGAAAAATGTTTCCTGTCAAGTTAAAGCTTTTCTTGAAGAAAATCGAATACTCCCGTACGAGCAGTCTGGGTTCCCCAAAAAACACGGAACACAGGCTGCCCTCTTGAAAGTAATCGACGATCTTGTGAGATCAATCAAAAGTCACCATTTTAGTACTGCTTGATCAAAGTAAAGCTTTCGATTTAGTTAATTTCGATTTCCTCATCAGCGAGCTCAAGTTCATAGGATTCGATGAAATTTCTCTTAAATGGATGACCAGCTATCTCACAGGCCAAACACAGAGGGTCAAACTGGATCTGCGTATTATGCATTGTTTCATAGTCACTTGATGTATGGAATACAGTGTTACGGTAATGCAGTATCTACACATATTATGTGAATTTTCACTTTGCAGAAAGCGGCAATAAGATCTATTTTAAATGTACCATGGGATACCAGTTGTCGAGAACTATTTCCTTCATTAAAAATCATGACCATCTACTCACTGCTCATTTATCAAAGTATAATAACAGTTAAGTCAAAGATAAATGAACATGCAACACACTCGTCAATTCACCCTCATGATACCAGACACAAACACAATTTGTTGGTGCCATTATGTCGTCTGCAACGAACGCAAAGAGACGACATACGGCTCTTCAACCTTCTTCCCACAGAGTTTAGGAATAGACCCTCGACGCAATTCAAAAATCAATTAAAACAGATACTATCCAATAACTGTTTCTATAGTATACTTGAATTCGAAATATTCATCAAGAAAAACAGAAATATCTTCATGACCCACAGAAACCTGTAGTTTTATTTATACTGATAGCACAATTCATCATTATCTATATACATACTTTATATATTTATAATGTATAATGCCATTGTTTTTATGTATTATTTAGCTTTTCTATTGCGTTATACCTTCTATTTTTTTATCATTAACCAATTTTAATGTATGACCTTATATAAATTTTTAAATGTATTTTTCTACTGACCTGTCCACAAACTTTATGTTTCTTGAGACCAATAAAAATTATAATTATAATTATAATTACTCATGGTCATACCTAAAAGAAACAAACTCAGGTGTACTGCAGGGAAGTATTTTAGGACCCTTGATATTTTCAGTGTTTGTTTTTGATTACCCTACTTTCTTATCACATTGTCAAGTACATCTATACACAGATGATATACAGTTATATTTGTCTTCTCATAACACCAATACAGAAAGTTGCGTGGTCAATATAAACACAGATTTGCACAAAACATTCCTATACTCTGAGAATCATGGACTGAAAATCAATCCAAATTAAACTTTGACCTTATGCATAAGGTCTCAAAGACAAATAGTAGAAATTTAGTGTAACTTTAGGCTAACTCTCGATAACGCAGACATTGACTGGGTAGACAGTGCTAAAAATCTTGGCATAACCATAGATAGCTCTTTGTCTTTCCATGAACATGTAACAAACATTTTCAAAATATCATTCTTCAAACTCAAATCTCTATATAAATTCAAGTATCAGTTATCAGAAGAAATGAAACTTAGGTTAGTTAAAACTCTCATTTACCCCCATATCGAGTATTGTTGTTCGGTGTATTACAATTTTTTGCCGCAATATTACAAGCAGAAGTTACATAGTATACAAAATGATTGCATGCGATTCGTATGCTGTATACCGTATGGTGAACATGTCACACCATTTTTGTCATAAATGAAGGAGCTGAATGTGAGGTACAGAGCCCAATATTTAATAAATTTTTTTTTGTTTAGGTTGCTTCAAACTAAAACACTTAGTTATTTATATAGTTTATCAAGCAGGCATTCTGACATATTTCAATTGGTCAATTTGAGAATTAACTCATTCAACATACCTAGGCTCCGTACTTCAAAATTTCAAGGATGTTTTTCTTATATAGCCCCTTCTTCTCTGAATGAAATTTTACCCCTCTTAAATCATAATCATCAATTTAAGAAAGACATAAAATCACAGATGCTTACTGCTCACTGCTAATTTAAAATTCAGTGTATAGTAGTGCAATGAAATTGTTAAAATGACCAAAATAATGTTAAGAATAATAAGAGTTATTAGCAACTGCATGATCTATTATTTTTTTTCTATTCGCTATCATTGTTATGATAGTAAATAAGTATTTTTATAATTATTTTCTTACACTCACTGTTTAATTTTTGGGAGAGGTGGAAGATAGCCCGTTTCCTTTTATGTTTAAATGTATTTTTTATGCATAATAAACGATATTAATATTATTATTACTATTAGACATATTTACTCACTTAGCATATGAGGTACATATAATATTATAAGGGCAACTTCGGCAACTAGAGTGATTTATTGGTTCAGGAATTTCAGGTGGGAAGAGTTTTTGCCCTCCATCCAATTCCACAGTCTTTGGTTTCCTAGTTAAATAATAGGTTAGTTCATTACGAAGCAACAAAATGTCTCGTTTCTCTTTCCAAGATGCTTTAATTTCTCTCAGTACTCCTTCCCTGAAATTTTTACAATGTATGAATGTGAAAAAACTTCAAACTGACAAACAAGCAATTGTGTTCAATATCACTGACCTTAAATAAAGCAGTAGTCCGGAAGGCACATTGTAACCCAACTTTTTCATCATCATAATGTACAGCATTACTTGACCTCTATGTTCCAAAGAAACTGTAGCTCTGCCAGTCTTCAGCTCAAGAGGCAGCGAATACATACCATTCTTGACACTAACATCAACTTTGCCTTTAACACCCAGCTCTGGACACCAAATATTTTCTTCGATATCTTCGATGTCTGATATCTTGCCTGTCCAATCGTCTTTGTTATGAACACGTTTGGAAATTGTGTCAGAATTTTTGACGTAGAGGTCGACGAAATGTTGGATTTTAGGTACAAACTTCATTACCTCCATTTGAATGTATTCCAGTGTGATTCCACATTCATACAGACTCTTTATCTGAAAAGGTATACCTCTAAGTTGTCAACAAGTGTACCTTCCTAAATAGAGAATAATAAAACAAAGAATGTTAACTTTCACGGCCGCAGATAACTATGTTAAAGCTATTTTATATCTGTAATAAAAACAGTATGCTGGATTGATAATTACACTTTAGACCAAAATGATGTTGATCAACAATGGAACCTATTTATGAAATATTTCCTAAACATTTTTGATCAATTCTTCCCTAAGAAGAAAGTGTTGATGAAACACAAACAAAATAAAAAACTAGTTACAGAAGGGTATGATGCTGAACTCACTGAAAGTAAGAATATGTTAGATGTTCTCTATGTATGTAGCACGGCGGACCAAACTTACAAAGAAACATATAATCAAGTGAAAAAAGAATACAACAGCAAACTGAAAAAAAGTAGAGCAAAAAATCATAAAACAAAAGTACAACAATCAGATAATAAATCTGAAGCAGTATGGAAAGTTGTGAGAGATATTAAGGGAAATGAACAAATGAGGCAAGAAGGTATTCTGTCAAAAAAAGATGCAAAATCTGTAGCAAACGACTATAATAATTTCTTGATAAGTGCAGTCTCCAACTTATTGAAGCAACAACAGGATGAAAAGTTTTCACACAAAATAAAATCAAATGACAAATCAATATTGCTAACACCAAGAAATGCATATGAAACTTTAGAAATTGTTAAAAAAATTAAAAGTAAGATGAGAAGTGGACATGATGAAGTCCCCTCTAAAATTATCAAATTATGTATAGAAGAAATGATAGATCCGATTGTATATACTGTGAACAATTCCCTAAAAAAAGGAGTTTTTCCTGACTCACTCAAGCTAGCATTAGTCAAACCCATATTGAAAAAGGGAGATCCCTCTAAACTAGAAAAGTTTAGACCAATTAGTCTACTGTCTTCATTCTCAAAAATTTTTGAAGCTATATTATGCAAACAGGTGATGGATTTCTTCGAACAGTGTAAATTTATCAGTAAGTGGCAACATGGATATCAAAATATTCAAAATATCTTGTTACAACTTGAGAACAATAATTTGGCATTGGGATTATTTCTAGACCTGTCAAAAGCTTTGGATTGTTTGAACCACACAGTTCTTCTACAAAAGCTGGAATCATATGGCATACGTGCGTGGCCCTGCGCTGAAATGGCTTAAATATTATATATCAGGTAGAAAACAAATGGTGTTAATTATCAAAGTTGAATCAGACTTAGAAATCAATTGATACTGGGGTGCCACAAGGTAGTAAAATGGGCCCAATGATGTTTATCATTTTTCTAAATATCCTGGAGGAGATTTGTGGGGAAAATTGCAAAATGACAAATTATACGGATGACACAACTTGCTTGTCAATGCATTAGACTATCCCGGTCTGATATGCATAACTGAAGAAAGCCTCTGTAGGGCAGATGAGTGGTTCAGAAGAAACATACTTGTATTGAATAACAATAAGACCAAAACTAACCGTGCACGATTTGACTTACCTCAAGAAATTCGGCTGACGAATATTTCTCTCAAAATAGAAAATGAGTGCAAATTCTTAGGACTGCACATAGACAGCACACTGAGTTTCAACAGTCATATTCAGAATGTTTGTCAAAAGTTGAACTAAGTGTTGTATTCAATGAGTTATTGGTCAGTATGTCGACACAGATGTAATCTGAATGGTCTATCATTCAAATTTTGAATCTGTTTGTAGGTATGGGATTATTTTTTATGGAGGTAGTAGAAATGCAGAGCAAATTTTTATTGTACAAAAAAAAACCTTGAGAGCTATGCTGAAACTAAACTCAAAAGAATCATATAGAGGCAAATTCAGTAGCCTTAAAATACTTACACTTACAGGAGTGTATATACATGAACTCTTGTTATTCCTTTTTAGAAACAAACATCTTTTTGAAAATAGTCTACCACAAAATGTATATAACACTAGAAATTTTGACTATGTATACCCGAAACATAAACTAACGGTTACAGAAAGGAGCCCGTTCTATCAAAGCATGAAAATGTCCAACAAACTCCCCACCAGCATCAAACAAATGAATAAACTTGGTAAATTCTAAAAGGGAATTCATAAGATTCTACTGAATATAGAACCCTATACTATTGCTGACTACCTCAGCTATACTGTCTGACATAATCTATCTTACTGGTGACGTTATTTCTGTTTTTGTGTCTTTTTGCGATTATTCTTCAGAAGTAAATATATTCATTATTATTATTTTCAGCAAAGCAACAGAACAACAGATTTTGAGTACCTGAACCTTTGAGGTTAAATGGACTAATTTATTTTATTTATACATGTGAATCAATTCTTAACTGCTTTGTAGAATCTTATGTACTGTGTACTGCATCCCGTCCGAATAATTAAATAAAAAACAAACGGAGTCGTACATTAATGGAGACCAACTGGAGGCTAGCCTCCTCTAACGCTATAATTTCTGCAACTGAAATTACAAATCGGGACGTATGTCGCTGGTTGGATCGGTCTCTGGAGCCTGTGTGTTTTAAAGCGATCGGAGGCTTGGCTCCCTTGCAACGTATGGCATTCATTATTTCCGTTTGATGATTTACTCGTTATTCGTTCATGGGCGGTGCGTTTTAGTTTTGTTGATGCCGGATACAGTGTGGTACGTACTACGTAGTGAGTGATAGTGTTTTTTCGGACATATTATATATTTATATTGAAAATTAATGGTAAAGTAATGATACCCAAGCATTTTTATAAAAAAATAATCATTATTATTTGTCAATATCTTTCAATTTATTGCGATGAATAGCCTCAAATTTTATGGGGAGGCTAAGCCTCCCTTGCCTCCTCTGACGAGCCACCGCTGCATATCAGAACTAGTTTGAGGATTGAAAAAAACCCTGACACAAGTGTATTAACATCTGAGGAAGACAACTTTGAAGAGGACATGAATATTTTTTTGAGAAAAATTAAAATTCACCTAATTTTTTCAACATACCTCATACATACAATAAATATATACTTACCGTACTTCTCCCTTTCGTTATGTTCTTTACAACCTTCTCAATACCCTCTCGATCATAAATTTTATTCCTCAATATGAACTGCAATAAGGTATGGATCAAAGACCCAAGCAGCATATGTTGGTTTGATGGTTCAAATCCCCTGAACCGTTCAGTTAGCACACACCTCCTTTTACACCACAAAGAACCTAGGAGCAGAGAAACGACAGATGTGACAGTTACGGTACAAATGTTAAAAAACCCACCGACTACAGAGGTAGTGGAAACCAATAAATCGGGTTCGTATACTAGTAAGCCGTGATCGTTATCAACAACCCATTCTTCTTCAACTTTCCTAGCACTGACATGAACTGTGTCACCAATGGCGAGCATGGTATGTATCCTTGAAATAAATGATAACAATGAAAGGTAGAACTGGAGTCTCTTGCATAGAGTAAATCCGAAACAAGCACTCTTCCCAATTTATTTCATCTCCTGAAGACGCCAACTTGTTTGGCGAAACGCGACTCGAGGAGGTTATTGCAGTTCTGGTGTTTGGGAACAAAGCTTGTTTCGAAAACGTATTTTTGCATTTTCACAATGTAACTGCAATTTACCAGAATCCTTCTAAATTACAAATGGCCTTCTCCCCTGTTTTTGTTGACTTCAGGGTCAGCACACTCTTCTTAGCAAAGGGGTTGATGCCAATGATTTTGCAATGTTGTGACTCAGTGAGATCCAAATTGAATTCTGCTGGATCCTAAAAATCAACAAGAAATAATTATTTATAATTGAGAAAAAAAATAATCTAGATGGAATAATAGGAACTTGCATACAAATTTAATCATGAAAATTACATTGAGAATCAAAAGATATCATTGTAATACAGCCTTTATTACAAAAAAAAATATTTTTTTTAATGCTATTCGTTCTATAGAAACAATAAAAGTTTACTAAAAATTTAAATTTCGTCATGTGACCAAAAACGCCCAGCCATTGGATGTGACGTCATACTGTATTTCGCAGGTCGCCAATCCATTTATGTTGCACTGATTTCGTTTGTTTATTGTGATATTTTTGTCCAAATCTGTGGTTTTGACTGTATTTAGTTAATTTTACACAGTACTATTTACCATTAAGTGTGTAAATTCGAACAAACATGACCGACGACGGATTTACAAAAGGTCAATCCGATAATCTGCCAGTTGTTTGATATGTTGATAGGGAAATTCATTAAAGAAGCTGAACATTTTTCTCTTGGTGAAGTACACGGAGTTAAAATAGACAAGTAAGTACAATTATTATTTGTTGTAAGTTTAATCACTATGTATAAATTATATGTAGCTCTGTAATAAAAAATTAATACTTGAATACTATAAATTCTATGTACCTCTGTTATAAAAAATTATTCTGTTAAAAAAAAAGTGATTTGAGTATTCAAATCACTGTTGACGAAGCTACTGTGTTAGCAAAACAGGTGATATAATAATAATAATGAACAGCTTTATTTCAGAGTAGATTACAAACTTTTATTGCAAAAGGTCGGTAACATATAATGAAATGGCGTCAAACAAGAAGGTACAGATTTTTTTGTTATAAATATTTTTAAATGAATGTTCCAGTGAGATATGCGTTCAAATCATAGGGCTCTAAGTCTATGAAAAGTTTTTTTTAGTTCTCTTTTGAAAACTCCAATTTTCTTAGTTTGCTTCAATCTGTTAGGAAGATGGTTGAAAAGCTTGATTGACATATAGTGGGCGCTTTTTTCAGTTACTGTTAGTCTATGAAGGGGATAAATATACATTTTTCAAATGAAGTTTGTGGAGATCATATCGTGAGGTGTAGTTTATGAAATTACTATGGATCTTTATCAAGCAAGGGCCGAATCAATCAGAAAAATATTGTCATTGTATCCGAAAACTTAATCATATAAACGATTAATTCTGACAAAACAAGGAGTTTTAGAAAGCACAATTAATACAATATCATATCTGGGAAAACAGTAAATATGTAAATATGTTTGTTTGAAGGTGATTGACAATGTTTCATGATGAATTTCACTAGTTCGGATTTCCATTGTCTACTATATAAAATGATTTGAAATCCCTGAAACAACTAAAAAAGAAGAATTGAAAATGAATAGCTGAAAATAACAATTATAATAACCAAAATAAACCTGAAATGAAAGAATAGTGAAATAAAATACAAGTAAAAATAGAACAATTGAATAAATAAAAATAAAGAAATGAAGAAAGAAAATAAAAATAAAAAGTGGAGAGATTCCAAGTCACGTTAGTTCACGACGTTTCGATTATTAGTATCTACAATCGTCTTCGGGTGATGACTGGACTGATTCCTCAGAGAGATGACTATTTATAGGTTGTTCAAGTACTTTCACTTATCCCCGCTTTCTATTTTCCGCTTCACTGGTTCCGTGGGAGATGACCGTTTTGGCGGGAGTTGGCCATTTTTCGCTTGATGATGGGTTTCCATATGTTGCGTATTTCTACGCTGGCTTGGCTGAATACGTTGTTGGACAACATGTATGCGGCTTCCTTGAATTTTCTCCTACACCAATGTTCCCCTGTGCAATATAGCTTGGGACCACTCGATGTTGTGTTGATGGGTCCAAACATGGTCTGCTATTCCTGATTTGCTGGTTTCCCCTCGCTGTGTGTGTTTCTTGTGCTCGGCATTGCGAACATTCAATGGCCTCTTAGTTTCACCAATATAGGATTTTCTGCACTCACAGGGTATCCGGTAAATGCAATTCTTGAAATCGCAGTCCGCGTTTGGTGGCCTGGTTTTTGTGAGGCTGCTACGGATAGTGTTACCGGATCTGAAGCAGGTTCTGATGTTGTACTTGGAACCAATTCTTCTTATCCTCTCCGATAATCCTCTGATGTAGGGAAGTGAAAGCACTGGTTGTGACGGCTTCTCTTCCTTGCGAGGCTCCTGCTGTCTTCTAGCCAAAGTCTTTTCTACCATCGCTTTGGAGTAGCCATTCCGTTGAAGATCATTTTTGATGATGTCTAGTTCCTTCTCGAGACCTTCCTTCGTATTACAGAGCCCAAAAACACGGTCTAATAGAGTCTTGATGATTCCTCTTTTAGTCGATTGATGGTGGTTGGATTTGTGGCTCAGATACTGTCCCGTATGAGTGGGTTTTCGATATACAGATGTTTCCCACTTAGTGTCGGTCCTCTTTTGTAAATATGTTAATTGATGACATTTCGAGAACAATTTCAATAATGGAGAGTGAGTAACTTCTGTTTCAAAGAAAATTTGAATAGTTGCGTTCATTGATTTCCAGAGATTCTAGAAGGTTTATTGCTTCTCCTTTATTTTCTGTATGTAATATGTCATAGCCCATGTTGAAATCGTGGTTATTCTCAAAAAGGTGGCAAACAAAGGAGGAATTAGTTTTCTTCAGCTTAAAACTTTTTCAAGTTTGGCGTTTTGAAATTTTTTGAAGTCCTTCGTATATAAACTTTTGTCATGATCCACATGTTAGTGGACGAGGATTATTAGTTCAAAATCAACCTATTTCATTAGATTTAATCATACATTTAGTTTTGTCATTACCTACTGTTATATAAAAGGCATTGTAGAATAGTTTGCTATACCACTAACTGATGAAGCGCTTTAAATACATTTTTTTGCAAAAATTCTACAATTATTATTATGGATAATATCATATATCATATTTATATCAAAATACATAACTAAAAATGTTGACTTGCAACGATAACATTTTTCAATTGAAACTTACAAGTTAGAATGTACATATAAATATAAAAAAGAAGAATAGCATTGAAGGTATTGCCTAAAATTAATGCCTAATACACAACACCTACTTGTAGCAAATCTTCTTCCCATCCATCATCAAAATTGAAGCTGAAATTCACTTCATTCTCTTCAGTATCAACACTTTTTTCTAGTTCTCTACTGCTTTCAATGGATTTACATGATGGAGACTTGGAAATATCAGATTGTTTGATTTTTTCACAATTTTCAAAATTGAGCCTCGTTTTCACTCGTTCTGTAGGTGTTTTGAATTCATTTTGTACTTCTTTTTGTGGAGTGGATTCATTATTCTGCTTAGCTTTCAAGGAACTGAAACAAACATCCAGGAAATTGATATGAAAAGTGAAAAAGCAGAATTTTCAAGTAAATAATGAGAAGACAGTTGAATGATTATAAATAATTACTTTTTATACCATATAGTAATAATATTGATGTATAAAATGCATCATCAGTTATCCGTGGACTATTTTAACGGAATAATGAAGTATCAGAAAACTCATCAATTCAATACACAAACCATTCATAACATACATATTTAAATTAAAAATAAAAATGTACTAAAAAATCTGTATATCATGTTGCGGCTTTCAATAATCTGGATTAAAAAAAGTGAAACATTCAATGTGTTCAAAGGGAAATTGTTAATCCAGTTCTGAGAAATGGACAGAAATCTTCTTAGAGAAATTCAAAAATCTACAACTAGTTTTCAATGAATTAACTTCTAGTAAAAGAGTATATAATTTGCCTTATAAAGGAAATTCAAATTTAATAGATTTTTTTGTAGCAAAACTATGTTATTACATTATAAACTTCAAATAATATATCAAAAAAGTTAAGAATTCTAGTACTTGTCTTAATGTTTCAGGGACCAAAATCTGCTTCTATATTTAGAAATAAGAAACCAACTGTATGCTGCATTTCTATCCTCAAAATTTGTCATATTTCCAAATTCATGTCACAGGGGTAAAGCAAATCAATATCTTTTGGAAATGTTATTGTAAGTACTGATAAATTTCTTAGCCGCTTTCAACAACATTCATTATTTATTAAATAAAGGTTTACTGATGAACATCACATTTCTCATCTAAAAAAGCAAAGTGAACTAAAGCAATAACTTATTTAATTTTTTAGATTGTAGAAGGTTAAATTTCCAAAAAAATCAACAAAATTTAGTTCAAAAGTGTTTTTATATTAGTTTCCCCTACCAAATCTTATATCCTAATCTAACACATAAAAATTATTACCAATTAAAAAAATTATTTGTGAGCTCACCTAGTTGAGGCTACTGGAGATACATATTTCAAAATGGAACTCTGGGTCTTTTCAGAACTTTTAACAATAATTACATCATCTGTTTCATTCGTTGATGACTTCACAGAACTTTTGCTAGGAGTTATTTTCACAAAATCTTTGATTACTTGAATATTGAATGAATCAACATTAACAGGAGACTTCTCGAACAATTTTTTCGGTGTTTTTTTTGCCTTTTTTGGTGTAACATCGGTAACCTTCTCTTTTTTTGATTGAGAATTGTGTTCTTTTTTGGGGGTAGTTTTTTTAGGTGTTTTTTTGGGAGTAGTAATTTTCTTCAATTGTATTGTCAACTCATCAATTTTTGAGAGGAGGCCCTCTGAAGACTGTTTTGTATCCGAAAAATCATTAAATAAAAGTTTCCTAGGACTCGGTGTCTGAATTTTATCCAAAAACCTTTCTCTTTGCTTTTCTGGAGTATGGTATTCTTTCAAAGCTTCGGTACTTAGCAAACTTTCGGGTTTTTTGACGAAAATGACCTGATTATTTTGTTTTGATGGTGTAATGGGTCCATCAAAAATATTCTCGCTAGTACTAGGATGGGCATTTGGAGACAAGGGCATGTCCTGAATATTACTTTTTTTTGGAGCAGGGTCCTCTTTGCTTGACTCACAAACTTTACGTTTTTTTGATGGCTTATTAACTTTGTCATCTTGAGGACTTGGTTTAAGAACTATTGAAACATTCTCTTTGTTTAGAACACATTTTTTGAGAGTTCTGTTAGGTCTATCGACGAAATCATCATCGCTATCGACATTTACAATACATTTCGTATCAGTAACTCCTTCATTTTTTGATTCGTGAGAGATCTGAATAGTTTGGGGGGACTGAGTATTTTGTGAATCCTTAACCTCTTTAGTAAAGAAAGAAGATATCTTTAGGTTTCCTTTATTTGCCTGAAACGAAATTTGTATATTTAGGAACTATAAAAAACTAAATCATTCACAACTACTTGCCTGTGACGATTTTAGCTTGAATGATTTCTTCATAATCGGAAAAATAATAGAAAACTTTGAAATTATTTGTTCTGCAGTTGAACTGTCACTTTTTACCGCGCTATCATTTCTTCTTCTCTAAACCTTAGAATTAGGTATGTTACGACCCTTATTAATACTAAGGAAAAATTTCACTCAATGATGAGGACGCTACTGTATCTAACAAATGTTAACATCAAACAGAAAATAGCTTATCCGTATTACGGAACTCATTATTATATAATTATTAGTTCTGTGGAAAACACATATGTTTCATATTGCTTTACGTTATTCTGTTTGATACGATGGCTGTTCGTGAAATTATATCTTATGACTATTTGAAAATTCCACATGGTGGTGGTCTAAAACTAGGAAAATTAATAATATCCGAAATCACGTAAAATTCACGTGAAATTAATTAATCAATAATAATAATGATAATATGTTTAATATTCACCACAAATCCATAAACAATTTTTAATATCAGTTCTAAAGAACTAGGTAAATGAAAGATGAGAAGTTCAGTTTTTTTTTCAACACCAGGAAGAGAAAAACTCGTCTTCTACTCAGACCCTTACTACGAACTGAACTAAAAAGTGGAATAAAATTACTGACCAATATACCAAAGAACGAGAAGATGAGAGAAAAAAAATATTGATGAATAATGCGTCATTGAAATTATTTATGTGATATTTACGTGATGTAGAGTATTTAACGTATCTTCATTTCTTGGTGTGCCCCTTTAAAATCGGCATCTCCTGTAAATGATATAGATAATTGTGGTGTGTACAGTTGTGAATAAGCAGCACAGTTTGGTTTCTAACTATTGCTATAATGAATCAATGAATATTCTTTGATTACGATTGGAGTTAAGACACGCCCGAAGAAGCCATTGTATGGTGAAACATGTGTTGCGTTTTTATAAACTCTTTTAGTGAAAATCTCAGAATAAAGTGTTCTTTGAATACGTTCGTGAATATTCAATTATGATAAACTATATAGAGCTTAATCGGAAATTTATTAAGATGAAATACAATAACTCTTTTTTCTCAGTATTTTCAACCTTCTATCCAATGTGCTAGTATGCACACATACATAATAACCCAGTTTTTTATTTTCTTGAAGAAAGATGATTTTTGTCAAAGTGTTTATTAGTGATTAACATATGAATTTCTCATTGATTTAACGATTCTGAGGATTATTTTCCATTTCTTATGGCAATAATCAATGTTATTCTAGAGTTTACGATTGATACTATTAACCTAGATGTCCGAATATGTAGTATAAATTGGACTAGCTCGTATTTCTCTCATATGGATCAGATTTTCATGCCTATGATCGCTTTTTATGTCTGAGTATTCATCGTATTCACATCTATGTATGCCCATTTGGCTAAGTACAGCCATGCTTTGTTCAACATAACTGAACATAAAGATTTTGTATATAGGGTTAGTCTATATACAATAATAAAGGCATTGTCTAAAAATTTTTATTGTCTAAAGATTCACAGACAATGATAAAGGCATAAAAGCAAGTTTTAGTCATAAGATATTATTATGGGTTCCGTGGTCCTCACATACCTGGCATCATCTAGTGTTCAGGGTTTTAATCTCTAAGAACAGTTCTCTTTCTCTTCAAATTTGACAATTGACAGGATCAAAATAAAAAATTTGATTGTCAAATTTTTGTTTTGTACTTTTGAGATTCCTTTTTCTTCCTTTAAGTTCAAAGGAGTGATTTGTAAATAAAAGTAACTTAGTGACTTGCTAGTGATAGAAAAAGTGCGGTTATCGAAGTATTCAATAGAAAATTTCATATTCATAAAATGGCAACAAATAATATGGATGAAGAACAAGCTCTTCGGGAGTGCGAAGCTTACGTTCAAAATCACAATATTCAACAAATACTTAAGGACTGCATCGTTCAATTATGCGTCAGCCGTCCAACAAATCCCATTTCGTTTTTGAGAGAACATTTTCAAAAGCTGGAAAGGGTAAGTGCTATTTTTGGATTGTATATTCACAGTTTTGAAATACAACTTTGTTTTTCATATATTTGCTTCAAAATACTTGGAGATCGCAAAATAGTATCCTCTCATGGTTATTTTTAGGTCCTACTTACCGATTTATAAACGAGTTTGTTATTGAATATACCTCAACATAGAGGCTAGACTACACAGCCCTAAGTTCAAATTTTGGTAGAAACATACAGTGTACAATTGAAAGGGAAGTATTTTTTTAGAAGAGATCAGTTAAAAAAAACTTCAAGGCTTTCTACTCCACTATAATTATAAAATTATAAAGAAAGTGTCAAACTTTCAATAAAGATGCAGCAAAAATGAACAATCATATGAACATTGAAATTCCTATGGATGAAATTTAATTTATTAGTTGTATGGATGTTTTTTATGAATTGTCACTGTTACAGTGACATAAAATTAAAGATCTTTTAAAGTTATCAGAATATGTGGTGATGGAAATTGAAGACTAGTATTTTCACCAGTAATTTTGAGAGGTTCGTGTGAAAGTTTTTTTTGTGAGTAAAACATTACATCAATACTCTTCCATATATTACAAATGTTCGGCATTTATGTGTATGAAATCTGTTTCAATTCCATTATGAATGTTTGGGGTACAAACTGAATGAGGCACAGTTATTTCCTGTATTTCAAAGTAGTTATTTCAGATTATTATTTGATTCCAGGTTGTATCCTCTCTTCTGAAGTTTTCCGCTTTCTAGAGAATGATGAAGAAGTAGAAAGCCCACCTTTATTTATATACATTCTGGGTAGCAGAACCACAGTGGATCTGAAAATGTTTTACTTTGACATAATTGTGAATGTTATTTTGGGTTTATTGTCGATTTTCTACTATTTATTCATTAGAAATGTTCTTGTAGCTTAACATTAGTCTGCCAGTCAGCTGTTTTGAAAGAGGAATTTTTAAATTTGACTTCAACATAACTTTAGGTTTATTTTATCTATTAGAACCTAATCACAATCATTCATTTTTTGAAGAACTGAAAAAAAGTTACTACTGAAATCTGAAATAACTCCTTTTGAAGCATTTTGTTGGATTAGAGACAAAACATTCCTATTAGGCTTCGTTATGTGTATGTTACTCAGTGTCTCCTTCTCCGTTAAACATTATATTGGCAATAAATCAATGTTTATTTAAAAGTGGTTAACGATGTTTCATGGTGAATTTTACTAGCTTAGACTTCCATTGTCGAATATGATTCTAATATTATTTGAAATATATGAAAGAACAAATAAAATTAGAATAAATAGCTAAAATATCGATTCTATCAAGCAATAAAACATGAAATGAAAATACAATACAACAAATTAAAATACAAGATAAAAGAGAAAATGACCACAGAGTGAAAACACATGATAAGAAATGAAAATAAACAAAAAACTCAAAAAAGAAATAGAAAAAAAACCTGAAGAATTAATTACATTTTTTAAATCCTGTAGTTTGAATGTGACCTGTTGGATGTATTTTCTCAATAAATTAATTAATAAATAAATAAATATTGTGAGCCTGTGGTAGTTATAATCAGTATTACAGGAATCACTGTTGGATTAGTCACTGTTCAAGTATTGAAGTGTAGATTTTGAATTGTCAACGTTTCACGTAAAAAAACCAGGTTGGCATCATTGGAGACCATATTCACGAAAAATGGTTGTACATGTTTCAGTCAGTTTTAGGGTTTTCATGATTGGTGTCACTGATATTTGACATGAAATAAAACAAGAAGGCGTGTAATTAGTGCGATTGTAATGGACCTACACACTGATATTGGAAAAACTACATGTATGATAGATAGTACCCCTTTTTATATTTTTTACAATTTTTTTGGGCAGTAGTTTTTTTATATCGAGTAAAAAAAAGATAGTCGTGACGTTACTAACATTGGATATGAACTTGGCAACACCGTAAAACTTTCCATATTGCATAATTTAATTTTCTTCTTCTTCCTGTATTTTTGTTGTTCTGACAGTGTGTGTGACATTGCCAATTTGTTTTTGTGATCGATTAGATGGTTATTTCCGAAATTAGGAAACATTTCATATTACGAAACAAAGAGTACACATTTGGAATTTCATTCAAGAGATATTGGATTGAATTGTTATGTCATATATTCATTAATTAACTTTTTCTGCTCCACAAAAATCATATTCATTTTGGAACTTGGTTTGCAAGGGGGGTTAGTCTCAATGGTAGTGTCATCACAGTCATCATTGAAACTTGGATTTTTCTTCGAAATGGAAAAATGTGGGTGTTCAAGCCGCAGGCGATCGATTTTTCCAACCCGTGTTAGGAATCACACGTTAGAAGGTAAGACCTCGTTAGTTCTTAACTCGCACAAGTTTCGACTTCTGAGAGTTATCATTCGTAGGGGGGCGACAGGTGGTTAACGGAAAAACGGATTTAATTTTTTTTTGAAAGAATGAAAAACTTTTTTACCCCGTGGAAATTTGTGAAATGTTGATTCACTATTCTTTGTGTTGTTACTACAATAAGTAACATTGCAAACTACCAATGCGTTTATGGTTTTTTATTGAAATACTCATTGTCATAGGATGAACAATAAAATTCAAGTGCACTAGTAATAGATGTTAAAAGACCAAAATAGTAAATTGTTTCATTTACAGTTTTACAACTGAATTACAGTCAACTTCTTACTAGTATATGCCACTTATCAGAGTTGCCAATCATGAAACATTTGAAGCATGTACAACCATTTTTACAAACAAAAAAGTATTCAATACTTTTGAGGGATCATAACCGCAAGGTGGCGCTTCAAGTCAAGAAATAGTAAATTTGATATTCTAATGAAATAAAATTTCTCTTAAAATGCTTCTTTTGGTGTGCGTTATTTTGTAGATAATACGATATAATCTGATATTCAAAGGTGAAACATTTTTCAGGGTCACTCATGTAATATTGTATGGCGAAGTGAAAAGTATTTGCTCTCTGTCAAAATTTTGACCCCCCCCTCCCCAAGTGAGATTATCTCTAAAATTTTCAACGAATGTTGTAGATAAATGGTGTGAGTGCAACGTTTCCACAGTCTGTCATTATGATGAGCATCTAATATTTATTCTTGAGGAACTTGATAACTTCTGATAATTTTCTGAGATGAAATATAACTAATATTTGTTTACAACTTCTCACCTGTGGTATTAAGAATAGGTTATATATGCATTATTTTTTGTATTTATAGAGTAAAATCCTCTCTTTCGAAGAATCAAACACATTGCCGATTGGTTAACTAAAAGCCAAGCATGAACACATTTTCATGTTGCACTGGCTCAATGAACAATACCTCTTTGGATTTACCTGTCAGTTTTAATGATTGGCTAACTTTTACATTTGGATAACCGAATATTTCAATACTTAAAAAGTAATTAATTAATATGTGAAAATTATGCGACCGCGATTTGTTATGGAAATAATCAATGTTTTCCTTGAGTTTGATGTTCAAATTATTAAACCTAGAAGTCGCCTTCTCCCTGTCACACCACGGATATGTAAATCATCAGACATTGTTGACAATGCCTTATCATTTCCAGATCCAGCTTATTTATTTTAACTAAGTAGACGAAAATAATATCAAACCGAGTTTGATGATGCGCGTACCCTTCATACGCATACCGTTAATTAACAATTCTTCCTCTGCCTTTGACAGTGACAGTAGAGCCAATTACCAAGTTCTTATTTTCATTTGAAATAACTGTTACATTGCAAAATGAGTTGTTACAAACTGAAGCGGATCGTTGACGTATTTTTTTCCCCTCCTCGTATTTTCATTTTCTTGTCTCTGAGGAAAGTTCTACGGTAGAGAGAAATCCCCGAGCTACGGTAATGAATCATTGAATTAATTCCTCACAAAGCCCATCTGTTAAGCTCCCGTGACCTTTCCAGGGTATTATTCCATTCCTATCGTTGAATCGAAGTGTGTGTATGCGCCTATGCATTAGCACAAAAACGAAAAGGTTGTAGGTTGTTTTATGATGTCCTTACTCTAATAAATAATAATAATTTTTATCGATAATTATGTAATAAAGAGTTTTTGTTTGTTTGAACACGCTGATCTTTGGCTGTAATGGATTTGGAAAAATCTTTTTGTGTGATAGCCTCATTCATGAGAAAGGCTATATGCTATTTAGCATCACGCTAAATATAGCATTACGCTAAATATAGCATTACGCAAAAAGGTAATGATTCAGATTAATTTTATATCGGTTGAACAAATTTGTCATTTGGGTATGGCGAACTGAATTATTTCAAGCAAAATCAAGTGAACGGTTTACAAAATCACAGTCTTTTTTCACTATACAATAGCTTCATAAAGCGTGTTCACACTCTTAGTATGTAGTTTTCGTTTTCAGTCTCTTAGTATTGTTGTAAATCATGCCCTAAAGAAAATAATGCCAGCCGCCACTGGTAGTCATAAACCAATTGTGACGTAGCTGCCGTTCTAGATGTAGCAAGAATAATGCTACTGACTTCGATGGAATTCTGAGGAATTTTCCAGCGCCTTTGATTGCCAGATATAAGTGTCATCCCCTCGACCATCGAGACAGTTAAGTGGAAGTTACAGTGCGCTACGCGGAGCAATCTAACAAAATAAGACGTTAAAACCCTACTTTGACAAAAAACAAAAACAAACAACGAACAGAAAAGTAATGAAATTAGTTCAATATTACCTATGTGAATATTTTAATATATAATCATTGTCCTAATGTTAAATGTTAATTATTTGTATTCTATACCATATTAATATTACTATCTATATCACGTACAAGCTTTTGAAATTGCATTTAATTGATTTGTGTAGTTGGCAATGTGCACAAGTCTATATGCAGCGCATGTAGCCTCTCCAGAAAAATTTGGAGAGGAGGTAGATCTAAAAGGATCTCCTTGGCCGCTGACGGTGTGGTACTAATGGCACCACCGATAGCCAGACAAGCCTGTCTCTATAAGCCAGAGAGCTTCGCTTGGTCCGTTTTCTGTAAAGCCTTCGGCCACCGAGCAATGGACGATTCCAGTACTCCTATTCAGTGTTGCCACTATAACATTTTTTGGAATAATTCAAAGTCAGAACAGATAGAATTTCTAATTTGGATGTTCCCAGATATATGAATCGAAGTATTAAAGTTGATATGAACAAAAATAAAAAAACCTAGGGAATTTTACTTTTAGGTTGTTTAATTGTTCGAAACCTGTCACCTATATATGTTTACCTGTTGTCACAAACATACTATTCCAGTTTTTTTTTGCCGAGTAGTTACGTTTTGATAGTGTATTTTGTAGGTGTTGTATGATATCTTTTTCCATACCATTATTATTACCAGAGGATGTTCCAGGTGCCCTATCGAAAGACAATTCATTGATTGAAGGCCATTCAGTTGCAGAACTCCAAAGATGGTTAGACTTTTTCTATGAACAATAAGTAAATACAACAATAAAATTTTATATGGTATATGACATGTGACGGCTAAATGACAGAATGGCCACCATTGAACAACGTACAAACCTAAAATTCCCTAGGATTTTTTATTTTTGTCCATATCAACTTTAATACTTCGATTCATATATCCGGGAACATTCAGAAATCTATAAAATTAAAAATTCTATCTGTTCCGACTTTGAATTATTCCAAAAAAGGCCTAGAAAATGTCAGTCGATTTAGACCCGAAAATTTTATAGTGGCAACACTGAATAGGGGTACTGGAATCGTCCATTGTACCATAAGTGATCATTGGTCTGACAATCTTTACATAAATCCAATGGATCTGTTTGGGATCTAAACCCCAAGTTTTACCACAAATCCTTCGACATGCCCATAGGGACAGTCAGGCTTTGTGTAAAGCTTTTTCCAAGTGAGGATTCCAGGTGAGTTTTTAATTAAGGACACTGCCAAGATATTTCACCTCCGTTCCAAATGGAATTACTTCAACATTGAGGGAAAGTGGCGTTAAATCGTCCAATTTTCTCCTCCTGGTGATGGGGATTATTACAGTTTTGATGGGGTTGACATACATCTGCTCCCTCAGGCACCAACTGTGAACAACGTCTATCGTGCTTTGGAGGATATTACAAGCTACCCTTCCCGGCGTGGACCTTGCCAAGATGACAAGGTCATCTGCATAAGCATGCAGATCTACTT